AATATTTCAACAACAGGACCAGAGATACTGTATATAGTATAGGGATAAAGGCGCTTGCCTTGAATATTACTGATCCCGATTCCATCCCCAGGAGTGATGTCTGAATATAGAGTTAAGAGTAAACCAGTAAGTGTGCTGGGTATGTTAAAAAAAAAAAATTGAAATAAAAAATTATTTCAACCACAAAAATAACATAGATGAGACAAATCACATAAAGCAAATAAAAAGCAGAGGCATGGTGTACTATTCTATCTAACTGCATATTAAAAGTGTTATTTATTACATTTATAAAAAGGGAAAGTTGCTCAAGTCAAAGAAGAAAGAAATACTCAGACCAAACATGTCTTGAAAGCAGAAAGATACCTGGGAGAGTCTGTCATATTGTTTTTGTGGGGAAAGTTGTGGAATGCTGGTTGATATGAACGCTGGTTTCCCTAAGGATTTTTTTGCTTGTCTTTTTGTTTTGGGGCTACACCCGGAGGTGTTTGGGAGTACACTCAAGAATCACTCCTGGTAGGCTTGGGGGACCATATGGGATGCTGGGGATCAAACCCAGGTCAGCCAAGTGTAAGGCTAATGCCATACCCGCTGCACTATCTCCTCCAATACCTCCCTCAAAATTTTGGACAAAATTCCCCAAGGAAGTTGCAATCAGGGATGGGAGAGAGAATCCTGGGACAGTTTTTTTTTTTAAATTATTTATTTATTTATTGAATCACTGTGGGAAAAGTTACAGAGCTTTCGGGTTTAGGTCTCAGTCATATAAATATCAAACACATTTCCCTTTACCAATACTTATTTTTAACCCCGAACCCCAATAGACCCCCACCTCCCACCCCTCCCAATTCTTGTGAGGCAGATGAGTTCTAGTTAATACTCTATCTACTTTGACTAGATAGATTGTTTCGATAGAAGATGCACAATTATTGTTTAGAGTTTACGACCCACCCCCCACAATCAGATATGCTGAAACAGCGTTGTGAAATGATTTGCTTTCTACAACTTGGTTTAAGAATAAAATGATGTTGCGCGGCCTTTGAATTTCTGCTATTTTACTTATTGACCCTGGAAGAATTTCTATTAAAAGTTAGCTAGTTAAGAGATTGGTTTCTGTGCCCTGGAGTCGTGGCCGTGCCGGAGAGCCGCTCGTGGGGGGCAGCTGGCGACCTCGGTGGGGCGTGGGGGACGGCCCACAAAGCCCCCCTTCTGGGACAGTTTAGAGCTACAATAAGGTTACTACTACCTTTACACTCTAACCTGGACCTACAACCACTTGAAGAACCAATGACAGGAAGGGCAGTTATGATACAGAAGGGACCAGTAGGGTAATAACAGTTAGAAATGATCACTCTGGGGACTGGCACAACAGTACAGTGGGCAGGGTGTATGCCTTGCACAAGGATGACCCAGGTTCAATCCCTGGCATCCCATAAGGTCCTGAGCATCGCCAGGAGTAATTCCTGAGTGCAGAGCCAGGAGTAACCACTTAGCATTACAAAAAAGAAAAAAAAAATCACTCTGGAGAAGAACTGAGTGTTGAAAGTAGGTAAAGTGATATACATAACTTTTCAGTATCTGTATTGCAAACCATAGTACTCAGAAGGAAAGGGGGGGGGGAGAAAAAGGGAAAGAGAGAGAGAAAGAAGAAGAAAAGAGGCAGGCAGAAGGTGAGGTGGAGAGGGAAACTGGGGACATTGGTGGTGGGAAATGTACACTGGTGAAGGGATGGATTCTGGAGAATGATATGACTGAAACCCAATGATGAGTGACTATGGGACTTCATGTCTCACTGTGATTCGACAAAAATTAAGCATGATTTAAAAAGAATCAATGACTCTATGGCAATGATAGTTGGAAAAGATCAGTCTGGACAAAACCTGAATGCTGAAAGGTAGAAACGTGATATGCACGTTACCCTTTCAGTGACAGTATTGCAAGCCACAGCGCCTAAAAGGAAAATAGAGAGAGAGAGAAGGAAAGTATCTGTCATAGAGGAAGGCTGTGCAGGTGGGGAGGGGCAGGCAGGCCGGACGGAAACTGGGGACATTGGTGGTAGAAAATGTGCATGGGTGAAGGGTCAGATGCTAGAACACTTTAGAACACTCTATGACTGAGCTCAACGATGAACAACTTTGTAACTGTATATCTTTTGGCAATTTAATTAAAAAAAAATTTAAATGAAAAACAATGTTTTTTTTTTTTTTTTGCTTTTTGGGTTATACCCGGAGATGCACAGGGTGACCATATGGGATGCTGGGAATCGAACCCAGGTTGGCCGCATGCAAGGCAAACACCCTATCCACTGTGCTATGGCTCCAGCCACAAAAAACAATTTTTTTAAAAGAATAAAAAAAAAGAATTAATGAGTTTATAGAGGGTCTAGAGCACTGTGGTAGTGGTGAAGGTATACAGTAACTTTGTTCATTAAAACTACAAAATTTAACACTTTTAATCACATTACAAAAAAAAATAATGAGATTGTCACCACAGAAAATCAGAGAAAAGATGATTTTAGAATCCCTCTTTTTAATGTTTTTGTTTTGTTGTTTCTGGTGTTACTAGAGCTTACTCCTGGCTCTGTGCTCATGGATCACTCTTGGTGGGGCTTGGAGGACCATATTGGGAACAGGGGATTGAACCCAGGTCAACTTTGTGCAAAGCCTTAGCCACTGTACAATAATTCCTTATTTTTAAGAAACTTGTTACAAAGTCTCCCATATTATAGGCTACTCTTTCAGCTGCTACACTGAGTAATAAAATATAATAAAAATAACATAACAATTTTATCTGCCAATTTTAGATGCTTCGGAGGTAACTGCCCAACAACTATTCCTGGGGGTATGAGTCAAAGTTAACACTGGATGTGGTTGTAAGTAAGCCTTTCACTTTAAAGGTCACTTGGAAAATTATAGTGAGTGGTTTTACTTTGTGGACAAGAGAATTTTTCCCTATTCACAGTATGGAAATATGTAATAAGCAAACAGCATTTTTATGGTATCGCATAAGGATCAAAAAACAAGAGCAGGGGCTGGAGTGATAGCACAGCGGGTAGGGTGTTTCTCTTGCACGCGGCCAACACAGATTCTATTCCCAGCATCCCATTTGGTCCCCTGAGCACCGCCAGGAGTAATTTCTGAGTGCCATGAGCCAGGAGTAACCCCTGAGCATCGCTGGGTGTGACCCTCCCCCCCCAAAAAATAAAAAAACAAGAGCAGATTACATGGAATGAAGATGTGCTTTGGAAAATTCATTTGGTGATGTCAAAGGAGGTTCTAATGATGACCAGGTTTATAATATTATAGATGGATGTGAAGAGTCTGAATAATCACTGTAACAGAAACATGAGAGGCACACCCATTTCAGAGAGAAGATGAGTATACTTCAGAAGACAACCAAGAAGGTGATGTTGCAGAATACCTGTTGGCCATAAGAAAGGATGAGTAAGAAATTACAGGATATGGATGTTGCATAAGACACATCTTCGCATATTCAAAGAGCAATCATGGGGATGTGAAAGTGGATCTGTTGTGTTATTTTTAGAAAGCAGACGTTAAAGAAGAAGGGAAATTTTTAGGGAGGCAGATGTTTGTTCACTATAAATAAATACATTAGAGCAATCATATCTACCCAAGATTGAATTCTGAAGTTCAAGTATAAGTGATGGCTTCAACTGTGCAGAAGGAAATTGAGGTGAATTGCCTATATAAAGGTAAAGGTAAAGGCCCTCCCGTTGATTGTCGATTTGCTCGAGCGGGCCCAGTAACGTCTCCATTGGAGACTTTGTTGTTACTGTGTCTGGCATATCGAATACTCTCGGTAGCTTGCCGGGCTCTCCGGGAGGGGCGGAGGAATCGAACTCGAGTCGGCCATGTTGGCTGCTTGTAAGGCGAACGCCCTACCCGCTGTGCTATCGCTCCAGCCCTGAATTGCCTATATGGTCATTTTAATCATTAATTGCTATTATTTTATCTCCAGGTTGGCAACAAGTTTAAGTTAATATAGCATTTATATTTTAATAAGATACTCTTCACTTATTACATGTTTTTAAATTGTTGCACTACTAAGTTCTATAGCTAGTAAAAGTATATAAAAACAATGACAGTAGTCTATGATCAAGGAAAGAGATATTTACATGTATAACACATGTTACACCGGGTTACATCTTAACTTTTGCCATAACATGTTAATGCAATGTCTAACAAAACAATTGCTATAAGGCTAAGCAGATATAGAAGAGGGGATGATCTAGTTAAAATTTTTTCTTCTCAGGGGAGTCTCTTAAATATCTCTGATCCAATATCTCTGCCTGTCCAAGAGTAAACTGATTCATTCATAGTGAAGATATGACTCAAACATTTTGGCTTGGTTCTGAAGCCTTACTTTGGCTTTGACTCAAGGCCTTCCAATTTTCCAGCTAGTTTTTTTTTCAAATCTTCACAAAAATTTATTATACAAAGAATGAACAAAGGGAATTATCCAATATACCTTCCAAATGCAATACCTAATAAAACATTAGTAGAATAATGTAAAACCACTGGCCACTCACTGGTGGTAAGATCAGTGCTAGAACACTGCATTTCTAAACCTCAACTACGAATAACTTTGCAATCACGTGCTTTAATAAAATAAAATTAAAAAAACAAGACCAAAAACCATGGTCACTAAAATCTATCCTCAATCACCAGCGTGATCAGTCTGTGTTCAACCCAAGAGTGAAAGACAATTCCAGGGTTAGAAGTCCTGATGAAACACAGCTTTTGGGTATAGGATGCATTATAAATTAACCAAGTATAGCGAAGGACAAGTTGAGAAACAGAACTGCATTATAATGATACTGGATCATCTGAATAAAGGGAAAGCATATAAATGAAACAATCATATTTGGTGAGTCACTCGAACAATTTTTTAAAAAGAATCAGAAATAGGAGCTATAAATCTCTTTTATTTTTCTTGAAACAATCTGAAAATTAAACTGCTCAGTTCCAATCTGAGTCTCTGACCTGAGATTGTTGGAAGAGGATGCATTTCTCTGGGTTTATGCCACAAGCCAGAAGAACAGCAGTCATGTCCAAGATGCTCTGCCGGAGAACAGCTGGGTCCTGGGCGATGGTGATGGAGTGCAGGTCAACGATGCTATAGAGTACAGAGCTATGCTCCTCCTGCAGTCTCACCCAGCTCTCAATGGCTCCCAGGTAGTTGCCTAAGTGCGGGATTCCGGTAGGCTGAATGCCAGAGAATATTCGTGTCATGGCATCTTTCTGGAAAAAGACAAACAAACATGCTGACTTTCGAGGTGGAATCCATAAATCCATTGCCACACTGCCACAACCAAGATGGCTAATCTTAAGAGTTTAAGACTGTCTGTCTGCTTTGGGGCCGAATCTGGTGATGGTCATGTGCTACTCCTGGCTCTGCACTCAGGAATTAATCCGGGCCATGCTTGGGGGTCCATAAGCAATGCCAGAAATTGAACTTGAGTCAGGCCTGTGCCTGACTTGACTTGAGTCAGGTAAGATAAGCACCTTACCTATGGTACTACCGCTCTTGCTGCAATGGCTTAAAACTATTAAACAATCTGACAGTCATCATTCGTGTGCATTTATTTTTATGCTCACTCTGTGAAAAGCACAATGTTAGGAGCACTGAAGGGCAGAATAGAGCATTCCCCCCCCTCTCCACTCAAAAGCATACAAATACAGAGACATAGAAGAAAAGGTCTGCAACCCCATGAAAATGTAACCTAACTGGTGATGGAAGAGAGATTTGTGAAAAGAGTGCAACATGGCAACATGATTATGGCCAGTTTCAGAAGATAAATAGTAGTGAACAGGCAGGAATTCCTCAGAGGACAGGATGATTGTGGTTCTGGTGGTCAGTGAGAAAGTCTTCAGGCAGAATCAAATTGCACTAGAAAATATGGGCCCCCAAGGGTTTCTCTGTGACTTCATTTGCTGCACACTTACAATGTGAAGACGATAGCATTAGGGGAAAATTTACTATAAATAAATGCTATTTACTTCATTTTATTTTGAAAATAATTGCTAATGTTATAATTTAGTGTCCTTCTTAGGGTGGAATCTGAGAAATGCACATTTTACTTCTAGTGATACATCTTGAGAAGGTTATTTAGCTTTTATATATTTCAGTAAAATATATATAATGTATATATAATGTATATATAATTGATGTATATAATTATCTCACCTTACCATCACCAAATGCCCAATATCCTTTTTTTTTTTTTCTTTTTGGGTCACACACACCTGGCGATGCACAGGGGATACTTCTGGCTTTGCACACAGGAATTACCTCTGGCGATGTTCAAGGGACCAGATGGGATGCCGGGAATCGAACCTGGGTTGGCTGCGTGCAAGGCAAATGCCCTACCTGCTGTGCTATGGCTCCAGCGCCCAATATTCTTTTACTTTTGATAAATCATACTTGGTCCTTTATTTCTTCAAAAATGAGTTTTAAATTCTGTACAATTTTAAGTTAGAAAAACATTTTTTTAAAAAGTCATGATTATGTTATAGTTTCTAATATTGAAGTTATAATAGGAACTGCAGAAGAAAATGAAATACAGGGTAAAACATGTAATTTTTCCTTAACTGATTTTGTATTTTTTAGTGAAAAACCAAAACTAAATATTACTAAGGGTAAGTACAGAGTTCTGTCAAAAAAAAAATGACACTATTAATTTTCCCCCCAAATTTTATTATAGTACTATGCTAGAGGCTGGAGCGATAGCACAGCAGTAGGGCATTTGCCTTGCACGTGGCCAACCTGGCTGATCCGAGTTCGACTCCTCTGCCCCTCTCGGAGAGTCTGGCAAGCTACCAAGAGTATCTTGCCCACACAGCCTGGCAAGCTCCCCGTGAGGTATTCGATATGCCAAACACAGTAACAACAAGTCTCACAATGTTACCGGACCCACTCACAGTGACAGTGACAGAGACTATGAGTTAAGAAGTTATTCATAGTTGGGTTTTGACATACAATGTTGCATCATTGATCCCGCCACCAGTGTCAACTTTTCTCTACCAGAGTCCCCAGATTCCCTCACATTATTAATTTTAAAATTCATTTTGAATTTATTATTTTGGCTTTTGAGAACACACCCAGCAGTGCTGGGAAAATGTGTGGTACTAGTGATAGAACTGTGTGATCAGCTACATCCTAAGAAAGCACCTTAACCCCTGCACTCTGCGGTGCTTATTATCATTTTAAATCACAAATCACAAGTGGTCACAAACCATCCTGTTATTCGTCGATTGCCTCGAGCAGGTCCCAGTAACGTCTCCTTCATCCTAGCCCTGAGATTATATTCAAGGCTCTTTAGGAGAGTGAGACCCATCATTGTTACTGGTATTTGGCATATTGGGGACGCCACGGGGAGTTTGCCAGACTCTGCCGTGTGGGCAGGCTACATTCGGTAGCCTGCCAGTTTGTCCAAAGTAGGAATGAGATAATAAGATGTCACATAAATAATAAAACATAAATAATACCAACTTATAGGACAACTACTAGATTATAGGCATTTTTATCTTTTCTTCTGTACAGAGCTTATTCAAGTTAATTTGGCTTACTTTTCTCATATGGGATTGTCCTTTGTTGATTTAAGAATTTATATATAATTTGGAATTTATATATAAGCTAGCGGGGGCCATGCACAAGGCAAGCTCACTACCTGCTATACTACAGCTCTGGATCCTAAGATGTTTTTAATTTTATCAAATGTATAATTTGTGACAAAAGGTTTTAAGTCACTAAAGAAACTGAAGTTCCCTGAGGTCATGAAGATAGGTGTTTATACATATAAAGTCTATATATGTACATACATATGCATATTTTAGAATTTTATCTTTCACATGTAAGTCAGTTTCTAACTGGGCTTTTGGCTATGGTGTAATGCAAAGGAGTTGTCCAATTTCTTTTCTTGTCCCTTCCCCCCCCTTTTTTTTTTTTTTGCTTTTTGGGTCACACCCGGCAATGCACAGGGGTTACTCCTGCCTGGCTCATGCACTCAGGAATTACTCCTGGTGGTGCTCAGGGAACCATATGGGATGCTGGGATTCAAACCTGGGTTGGCCGCGTGCAAGGCAAACCCCCTACCTGTGTGCTATTGCTACAGAACCTGCCCCTTCCTTAAATGGATACTAACTTGTTCCAACAACCTTTATTGGAAAAAAAAAGGTTCTTTTTCTGTTCTGAAATGTCACTTCTACTGTAAATGAGGTATCTCTTTATATTTAGGTTTGTATCTGGTCTTTATTGGTTCACTGCTCTATTTATCAATCTCTATACTAGCTTTACAATTACCTTTTAAAGAAGTCTTAGGATTTGGGGGAGAAAATCTTTCTAGGTTCTTCAAGAGTATCTTAATTATTCTTAGATATTTACACTTCTCAATATATTTTAAAATCATTTTGTCTAATTCCAGGAGGGAAAAAAATTAAAGTTTTTGTTTCTGTTTTTTTAAATTAGGACTCCATTGAGCCTGTACATTGCTTTGGAGAGAACAGACATATTTATAATATTGGATCCTCTCATTTAGGAAACTGCATAGCAATTAATATTGGTATATAAATGTAAATCATGGTGACTGCATAGTTGGTAACATTACACAAATGAAATTTGCTAAGAGAGTAGCACACAAAGAAATAAGTGAGGTAATGGCTGTTACTTAACTGGTGGGAACCCTTTTATAATGTAATATATATGTGCCTGTGTATATCCACATGCACATATATACATATATACACACATATACATACATATATATTTGATTACTATGATGTACACTCGCCATTTTGCCAATAAAATACCTCCATAAAAATAGACCTTTTAAAAAGTGACATGAGTGAGTCTTCTTCATTAGAACTATGCTTAGCTCCTAAGGGTTAATTACAAAGTACAAAGGCTATTTAGATTTTTTTCTTAACAAATGACAGTTTCTCTACTCTTGCTCCATGCTGAATCCATATCTACTATTTTCTTCTCTATTCCAGAGATGACAAACCTAAACTAGAAAGCTACTCCATGGTTCCATAGTATAGAATCACACCTCATCCATTTAGGAGAATGAATTTAGGAGAACAAAAAGATTTCTGACTCTGAGAATATAAAATTTTTTTCTTTACGTAACAGAAAAAAGTATAAACTCACTTTACCCTTCTCCTTCCAACAGGCTTTCAAATGACTAACCCCCCAGTCATTAAAATTGTAGAGGACGGTTCTGTGTGTCACAGCACCTACCTTGCAGGTAGTATAAGGCCACGAGTTTAATCCTGGTGCCATCCCCACAAGCACCGGGGGGTTCTGGCATGTGGGCCCCCATCTGCAAAGTGTGTGATCTCTAGTTCACAACCAGGCGTGTCCGAGCAGCACAACTAAAGATGTGTGAGCATCTTGGAAGTGTGAACTCCATTGGCACATGTGTCAACCCAAGGCAATCCCCAGCACAGAATGGGGATGCGCATCATGACACAGGGAGCTTGTGCTCAAACACTGCAAGTGTGCTAACCCCAGCAAGCACTGCGGGTACATGTGGGAACACTACAACCATGCACTTCACTCAACAACAGCAGCAACCAGGTTGGGTGGGGCGGTGGGGAGAGACAGACAGAGAGAAAAAGAGAGAGAGAGAGAGAGAGAGAGAGAGAGAGAGAGAGAGAGAGAGGTTAACTATGTGAAAGAAAAGAACTGAGGCAGAGAGCGGAGAGAGAGGTGGGGGTGGGGGTTAGCAAAATATAACTGCGTCAGTGAGGTTCTTTCTGGATTTTGGAGCCTCACCCAGCTTTGGGTTCCTGACATGGGAATAAGCACAGGCGCTTTCAGTGAGGTAACAGATGATTAATGGGCTTTAGGGACTGATGATGAAGAGAGAAAGCAAAGCAGAAAAACAAGCACTGAACTTAATAAATGGAAGAGAGGAGAAAAATCATACAGAAATACTTAACCCAGGATGATGAGGTTTACGGTCAAGGAAAGGACCCTGCAGAACAGGAGAATATGATGCTGAAAATAAGGATATGAAGATTTGCACATAAATTCCTCCATGCTCAAACTAAGGAATTACTCCCCCGGAGAAAAGGAGAGACTAATTCCTGAGACAACTAGGAGAGAAAAGCACTCGAGAACAAACTGTGGGGAAAAAAAAGATGCGTGTCCAGCCGAAAGGGAAGAGCCGTGATCTAATTTCATCAGTTCCTACAATTCTGTGCATCTGTGCGGAGGGAATGATGTTACCAAGAAATAA